GTTATCTGTCCTTCGAAGCAGCAGTGAATGACAAATCCATCTCTGCTGAGAGTCTTATTGAGTTAACTTTCATTTTTTATCGTTGTCAGAGTTCGGCTTCAGCGTCTCATGGATACCCGAAAAGCATTACTTCGGAAAGAACAGGCCATGGCTTATGCTCGTGCAACAGTTGCTGGCTTTGAGATAGACCAACTGGATGATCTCCTACAGTTTGCTAATTCTTTTGGTGCCTTACGTCTTAGGTATGATAAGAGTATATTGTCTTCATAACCTAAGTTGTATAGCATGTGTGTAGATAAAAATCAACTGGTATAAATTGGATCACCAGAGTTTTTATTTGACTATTTTAGTTGGAAGAAATGTTTATGGCGTGTTCCTATCATCATCGCGAACCTTTGCTCCATTATGGTGCATAACACAAACAGAGTGTCCAAGGAGATCTGCTGTCTAACAACCAAAAAAATCTCCTTTTTAAGGGGTGCAGATTGGGCATTGGACTTTGTTATGTCTATCCTTCTTTTATATCTCTGTGTGTCTTACTCTTTCAATTCGCTAAAACGTAAAATTTTGAATCGTTTCCATATATATATATATATATATATATATATATATTTATTTTCAAAGGAAGCATAACCTAGACATGGAACTAGTAAACTCCTTAGTGTATCTCTTGGATGATATAATAAGAAGCTTCTACGTCTTTCACTGTATACATAATACTATATGGGAGGATGTCAAGTTTGAGTCAACTGTTATAGTTCCAGGCGTCTTGTAATTTCAAATGGTGTATTCTTATCTTTCTTGTAGGGAAGCATGTGTTGACTTCAAGGAACTTTACAAGCAAAAGCACACAGATGGCCAATGGATGGATGAGGTAGCTGCAATGAAGGCATGCTCCCCAGCAGAGTTGTCCTACTTGGGAAATCAAGGTGTTATTCTTGCATATGACAATAGTGGCTCTTTGGATAGTTCTGACTCAAAGGAATCAACAAATTCAAATGGTGTCAGAGGTATCCTGTCTATCCTTTCTAGCGCCGATTTTCTTTTATTAGATTTAAGTTTAGCTGGTTGTTAATGTTATTGGCATAGTCCACTTTGTCAAGTACTTCATGTCTCATGTTTATACTTTATATCAGTCACAATATAAAAGGGAAACATTTGCTCAACATTTGTAGTTTTAACTGCTCAAGAAAGGGCCTGTCGTAATAATTCTATTGGATATGGTACTACATACCGATGACCAATGATCAAGAAACGTTTTGTGTACCAATATATGTACATATAAAACTTATGTCTACAGCATAGACTCTGCTTTTTTTTTTTTTGGTAATATCAACTGATATATGTGCAGATGAGAATCTTCCTGCATCAGAGCCGTCCATGTCAGCAAAAGCTCAGATGCAGATGCCATGGCAGAATCAGATTCCTCCGTATATGTACAACTTTCATGGTCCAGCTCAACAGATTCCTTATGCTGGCATGCATCCTTTGCAATATTATCCAGCACATATGCAGTGGCCACAAGGTGTAAATGGCTCAACAAATGGTCCTGTTCGAGACTCTCGCAGACGATCAAAGAAGAAGGAGAAAGAACATGACAGTTCAGAAGACAATTTACAAACTGAGTCCAGTGCCTCTGATTCTGGAACTCATTCAGATGAAGTTAGGAAGCATGAGAAAAACCATTCTTCAAGGGAGAACTCACATAATAAAAAACACAAGAAGAAATCCTCAAAAACAGTTGTAATCCGCAATATCAATTATATCACTTCCAATAGAAAGAATGAGGAAAAGGATGGTTCCTCTTATGATTCTTCTTCAGCTGAATCTCTTTTACTCGATGAAGATTCTATTAAAGAGCAGGTTGATGATGCTGTTGCAATACTGGAGAAACGTCGCAACTCAAGAGCACGAAGGAACAAGAATGAATCAAATGGTTATGGCAGTACGGACCTAAATGAGGGTGTGTCGCCAAAGACATCTGAGAAAGCAAAAGGAAATGAGGCATGGGGTGCATTCCAGAATATTCTGATGAGTTGTGAGGAGTCAACTATGAATGGGGTAAGCGACCCTTTGAACTTCCAGGATGAAAGCTGTGGAATCAAAAATTCTGGTGACGGGGTTTCATTCACAATTAGCAATGGTACGGAACTGGGATCTGAGAAGGTCAGAAGAGAGCATCTGACAACCGATGATTCTCTTCTCATGACCAAAAATCATGAAGAAAGTGGCACAAAGGTTAGCATGGTAGATTTTGCCAATGGTGAGGATATGCGGCCAAGTTTGAAGAAAGGAGTTTCTGAAGATGAGCATCTTCTATTTTCGCACAAAGAACCATCAGGGGGAAGTACATTGGGAACTCCGTCTGATTTTGGTGCTGAATCCTCCAGTATTAGAAATAGTAAGGGGGAAGATTGGTTTGTCGTCAACCACTCTGGCAGTTCAGAAACTCAAGAGGCTAAGCAAATAATATTTGACAATGACAGTAGCATGTCAATGCAGAAAAGTTCCTCTCACCCCGAAAGTGAAAGAGCTGCTCCAATTGATGATTCATTCATGGTACAATCTCAACCATCTTTTGATGATCATTATAACTCTCGGTGGAAAACAGACATTAGCATGGATGCAGACATGCTTGCTGCAGAAAACACTGATCCAGTTGCATCAAAAGCCAAGGTTAGTACATCTGTGGCCAGTCAACCTGATGACCTCTGTGTGGTGCTTACAAGAGACCCAAGTTTGGATCCCGTTGAGGCATCTTGGCAACCACAGTTGGATTTTGGGATTGAAGCTTCTTTTGTGGGAGTTGATAAAAAATCTTCTGCTGTTGAGTTAAATAGTTCTACTGAAGAAAATGCCCCTGCAAAAAGTAAAGGCACAAGTAAGAAGGACGGTCCTGCAAAGACTGGAAAAGATGCAAGGTCTAAAGTCTCAGGGGGATCCTTGTCTAGGAGCAGGATTGATGCTTTAGCGAAGAGCAAGAAGATGTCTCCTTCTAACAAGCTGACAACCCAAAAGAGCAAATTAGATCGGGTACGAGAACCACCAGTAACCTCATTCTTTAGTTGTTTTTGCCTCCATTATTTTGTATCTTTCTCATATTTCATACATGTTCATTTCTTATATAGGAGGAAGAAATGCGCAAGAGAATGGAAGAATTAGTGATTGAGAGACAGAAAAGAATCGCGGAAAGAACAGCAGCTAAGGGTTCAGGTTCAGCAGCTTCCAAGAAAGTGCCAGCAGGAAGTAAATCAGCTTCCTCAAAGATATCAACTTCATCCAAAGTTCACACATTACCAGTACAGGTCAAGCACTAAGGACATAGCCCTGTCCAGGAAAACTATGAACCGGCCTTAAACACGAACTTGGAAACATCCACAACTTGTGTGGTTTGTGCATACATGGATTATCCACAAATATCTTGGACAAATAAAGTCTTTCCGATGGAACTTAGAGATTCTTTCTTTACTAGGACAGAAATAAAAGCAGTGTTGCTTGCTGCTTTAATGCTATTTCGTTCTCATTAATCTAGACATTCATGTCCCATCATAAGGTTTTGCCAGTATAGTTGATTGAGGCTTTGTTTTTATTTGTATACTGCTATTTGTTCATATGTTTTGTAAAGCTATATGTAAAATATTCTTATTCACATATGTTTTTTTGTATAATATATCATATTTTAAGAACTACTAGCTTCGTTAAAGCAGTCACTTACTTTATTTTTGTTAACTACTTCTGTATGTTCTTTACTTTCAAGAGCTTCCACTTTATCAAATGGTAGGGAAAGGAGAAGAAATATTTGGGGAAGCAAGATTATGCCAATTTTATTTTTCTTTTTGACTGGCTTTTCATATATTCGAACCTTAATGTATATGTGGGTAAATTATATATTGAACACAGTCCACAACGTCTAAATTCTGAATTTGCCAGTAATCTAAGTTATTCGTGAGGAATGTGACAGCATGTACTGTTGGCTGATTCATGTAACCAAATAAAGTTGTGGAAGCCAATTCTTTGAGAGGGTGATATATGAAAGGGGCCACTTGAAATCACAGGAATTGTCAAAGATTCCAACATCTATCTATACATTTATTTATTAATAATTCTCATACTTTGAACTGTCTCTTTATTTAGATTTGGGACATGTCCGAAACCATGCCTTGAACAAAGTCACAAGTCACGACAAAGACACATAACAAGGAAACTTTCATCTTTTTATATTTTTCTGTTTTTATTCAAGATGGAAGAAATTTCTAAAGGTTTGGTCTCGAGTTGTTTGAACAATATTCCTAATTTATCGGGTAAAGCACCAGTTGAACTTTTCAAAATTCTTGTTTAGTTGATTTACTATTCTTAATTTCTGCCCCAATGTCATCATCCATGACCAATTTTCTTTTCCATTTTCCCTTTCAGTGAGGGTCGAGAAGCTCTGTCGAAAAAAAGAGCCGAGAAGCATAGTCAAAATTAATTACTGAATTGTACTCAAGTTTTTGTAAGGTCGTACTTGAGCTATTATGTTCTGAACCCTGAAGCGACACTATAATGGAGCTGTGGAGGTACAATAACAAATTCAGTTGTAGTTTGAATCTCAGTGACGTTCTAACCGGTGTCGGGTCACACTATTTTATTACATTTTCATACAAAACTTCGATTCATAACACTTATTTATATAGTCAAGATAAAAGACAAATGCGTTTAAATTAGTTAAGCAAATTGAATCCTCAAACAATATGTGGAAACCCTCTCCCCCCACTCTCACCCTCGAAAACAAAGAGAGCAAAAGAAACACACCCAAGGCATTGTTTAGGCTTTAGAATTTAAGTTATACACGCTGAAAGTATAAAGAGTTTCAATATTATTACCAATACTGGATGCAGAGAACGACTTTTTTGGTGAAATAGTCTTATCTTATTCACATTCTAAAATGGTATTTGTATGTTTCATAGAGGCATAAATTTGACTATAAGTAATAGTAATGTAGAAACAGAACAAAAATGGGCTAATTAAGAAACTGGATAGAAATGCAGAATATATACTTAACGATATACAGTACATAAAAGAATGTTTGGCATGATCGTTTAACCTGTTTCTTACATTTATAACTTCAGCAGCTAAAAAGCTAATATATTAAAAAAGCATGACATGAGACATCACACCAAGTTCATCATCCACCAATATATAGCTAGCACCAGATTGTTGTTGCTTGCCAATTCTCTTCATCATCAACCTTACATTAGAGACACTACTTAGTCTTCTGCCATTTTTTACGGTTGTTATCATCCTTAACACCAAACCAACTTCTTGCTCTCCTTCTGTATCCTGCATAGCCACACAGTTAATTCTATCATCACTGAAATCTAGAAAAGTTCTATCAAAGATGAGATAACAGAAAACTTTAATGAGGCAGTTTACTATATTGCTATATTGCCCAATATAAATTTTAAATGCCTCCAAGCAGGCATCACCGTAGCGCTTAATGTGCTAATGGATCGAGGGACTTGCACTACTTGTCCTTCTAGGTAAGCTAGGTATCAACCATATATTGTTCATTGCTTGGACAATCTAGCAATGCACCAAATTCACCATTATTGATGAAATTTTTATACCACTATTATTTGCTTAGGTTAATTAGTGTGACTAATCAATTCCCTATCTGGTTTTTGAAACCTTCCCATCTTCCAAACTTGTTTTACATGAATACATCTGTTAGTTTAGAGTTGTAGTACAAATATATAGTTACCTCTAGCTTTCACATCTTATTATAGTAATACTTTTCACAAGAAAGACAACCATTATCTTAGTGATATATAAGGAGGCCTTGAACTGATACTCATTGAGAAGTGACTCTACTTATCCTCAAAATAAAAAATTACTAGTCACACACAAATCTTCATAGATAAGAACACAAAGGCATCAACCCAGTACAGAAAGTTTATGGCAAAAAATTTAAAAGAAAGTGAATTGAAATCCAAACGAAGAAAAATAAACTTACATGATATTACCTGCAAATTCTAATAGTCAAATTTTAAACGTACTGAGCCCGGCAATTTGAAGTATCTGTTACAAATGTAAAGTAACTTTAGAGACAGAACAGGATAACAGAAAACAATAGGACACTCATCAAATTTTCTTCATACAGTCACTTCCTAGAAATCTTGCATATTACAACAACAAAAAAAGGAACATTCAGCTTCGAACCCGATGGCGCAGACTTACCTAGCATTCATTTAGCAGTATCAACATTTAAAGGGCTCAGTAGTTTCAGAACTTCACCACAATTTTTCAATACACACAGATCACTACATTTCCTCTTAAACAACTTTATATTTACTGACCTTACCATAAATGTTATGGTTAGAACTTAAATTTACATTTAGATAAAATAGAATTGGAACAAATGAAATTAAGAAATATATTCACAACTTAGTTCTCAACATCTATAAGTGAGACATTAGTTTGGTAACATAAATGTTTATATCACTTTTTCCTCTTGTAATGCTGAAATAGACAAACTTTCTTCTCCTTTTATTTACACAGCAAGGCTTAAGCAGCTTGTTTCTCAGGTCAATTAAAGCCCTCAACTGAAAGTAATACATATAAAAGAGGAGTAGCATTTCAACAATCGAAATGAGAGGTCAATTAAAATTTTCTTGAAGACAATTTGCAAATCACTTCTTGTGTGGGAAATTTTTGCACCATTTTTTGAAAACATTATATATCTTTAAAATTCAAAAGTCAAGAATAAACTTGTTTACATTATGCGGGATAACTATCTGACTGAACAATTTTTAACTATATTACATCAATGACTTCTATGTATTTGTTTGCCTGCACTTTGCAAAGAGGAGCAGGGCACTACAATAATAAGTTGCATAAACAATCACCTCGTGTTGAGTTTCTATAGCCTGGAATTGTTTCCGCTCCTTCCCCCTCAAACATATCGATCTATTAGTTAAAATTCCATTTTGACCAGCCAAATAAATTTAAAGCAGTATAACTCTTAATCAACACATATTTATACATACTGCAAGGTACATATTAGCAAAAGGAACTATTAAGTAAGTTGTAAATATAAATCTGATATTTAGGAACAGCCAAAAGAAGGAAATATTTAACATCAGAATGACATAAAAAAACATAGCTGTTACCTGAGCATACAAAATAATAGCCACATAGTTGCTCCTGTAGGTGTTGCACTATGTAGCAAAAATAAGGCATGAGGGACTCAAGTCTAAGATCCACGCTTATGATATAAAAATACCACATAAATGCTAAAGTTTGATGCATTTGCAACTATCTGACTGACCAATATGCATATTTGCAAGACTGATCGACCTTCTTTCTTTCTTTCTTTCTTCTAAAATCCCCAATTAGCATCCCAAGATGTCGACTGAAAGGAAAAGCAGTTGGCTAATTACACTCTTTTTGTAAGAGATAATGCACAAATAGCCATTGGGATACATAACAATCACCAAGCAGAATAATGTTTTAAGCAAATAAGATGCCATCAATTACAAAGTAAAATAATCAAGTACAAAGTCATAATTTAGCAGATATGTGTCACTTAAAGATTAGAATTCTTAAACATATCAGGGAATGATTATATTCTCTATTTCTTATTCCCAATTTAGATAAAAGCTTCTCCCTAGTAACGACTTAATTTTCTTAATGTTTTCCTTCCAAAATTTACCTAAACCTACATAAAGTGGATAGAAGGCCCCACCACAGTAAATGATATAAAATGGTGTCTTTTGTGGTAAATTCTTATGGCTAGGATATAGGTAATGATCCCAGTAAGCAGGAGGTTTGCCATAATTGAGGATTTTTTTAAAATCGTGGGCATAATTGAGAAAATTATTGTTTGCAAATGCAAAGCTATAACATTATTTTGAGTAATAAGCATGAACCATGTTCTAACTTCATAAAGACATACAAAGAACCAAACTCAACGGAGTTGCTGTCATCCTTGGCGAAGGAGCAGTTTGAAGGTTATCTTCTCTTCTTCAGTAAATAAATTGCTATTATTTTTCTCTTCTGCGATCCTCTTAATAATAGGATAACAAATATATACCCAGTATATCTTCATTACTAAAAAAAGAGTGCAAAAAAATAAGAACGAAGAAACGAAACTCACCTGAAGTGAGAACTACAATTGAGGGTTACAGACAAATTGCCCTAAAGAGGAGAAATTTGAAATTACACCTAAAATCACACCAAACAAACATCGAAATCCCCAAATTACCATACTCGTCTTTCTCCAAGTCCCATTTTTTCTCAAACAAATATCAAAATTCGTAAACTACCAAAGAAGGCAAATAGAAAAAACTCAAAATTGGAAGTAATCAGGATTTGCTAAGAGAGAACTGAAGAATCTATATATATATGAAAAAGAAAGAAAATCGAAAGATATAACACCGGCGATTATGTCGGAATCTGATCTCTTCTAGCGAAAAGGTTTCGGACTCAATCGTTGAACTTCCACACTCAATTGTTTGGTACATCTATGAAATCAGAATTCTTAGAATCCAATTTCAAAAATAAGGTTAAAATCCCAAAAGTATTAATGATAATTTAAAGTGAAAAAAGTTACCTACGTGCAACACTTCATGGATAATAACAAAAGGAGCAGCCAAGGAGGAAGAGAAGAAAAGAGAGTCGCGAAGAAGCAAGAAGAGCAAAAACGAAGCAAAAAAGCGAATATGCAGGGTGCCACAAAACACCTAACCGCACATATTATTCCCGTTGAATAATAAATATTTTAAAAACTGGTCAAATATCAATAAGAATCATATTATCCATTTAGAAAATGGACAACCAACTACTAATCAATGAATAACTAATGGGTCTGACTTATATATTTGTAAAGGAGTTGCTCAAGTTAGAAAGATAAGAATTTGAGATCCTATACAAGAAGTCATGGATAATATGAGTAATCCGTATTATCCGCCGATTAATTCGTTTTTTATCCGTATTAAATATGGGTCGAATTGGATAATTAATTCATTTTTCTATTATCCATTTTAACTCGAACTATATCCGACCCGACCCGCACATTTGTCACTCCTAATACTGTGTTACAATACACCTTGAGGGATATTGAATGAACACGTGTTCATAAGTAAGCTACGCTAAAAACACGTAAGTAGTATTGGTTGAAAGTCTAAATTACCCTCAGTTTTTTCAGAAAAGACATTAAGCAGCCATGTCGAAAAACTTGTTATAGAAATATTATAGAAATAATAAACTAATTATGTAAAATATTATATCAAATACTCCCTCCAGTCCACAATAAGTGACCAATTTATCTTGGACACACTCATTAAGAAAATACTAAATTCTAGACAAATATAATTAGTGTGACTAAACTATCCTTAATTAAATATTGCAGCATAATTTAATATGAGAAGTAAAAGACTTTTTTAGGATACATACATAAGGGTAATTTTGAAAAAAACAAATTGAATTTTTTCTTGATTATATTAATGAACACTTATGTTGAGCCAAAATAAAAAGGCAAATTGGTCACTCATTGTGGACCGGAGAAAGTATATCTTCACTCACTTTATAAGTGATCCATTATGTAAATATCTCCATATTGGCCTAAATTTTCTAAGGAAGAAAAGTATTTGAGTGGTAGACATGTTTTAATCACTACAAGGCTCCTGATTTTCAGGAGCTTGGATTAGTTGATTCTGCAAATATTCGTTATAAACTTTTATCTGAAAGTATTCATCAGAAACAGCTCAAAGACTTGAAAAGAAGATAAAAGAACACAATAACAAACCCAAAAAATCAGGATTCATACGCGGTTTTTCCTCAAAAAAACAAGAAATATAATTTCAGTAATTGACCTCCAATTTTTCTCTCTCTCTCACTCTCTCTATTTTGGAAACAAAAGAGAGAAGAAGTGTTTGTCTATGAGAGAAGTTGGATTAACCAATTTCCCCAGTTGACTCTTAAGAGCCTTCCTATCATCTCTCATTTGCTCTGCACGTTATACAAGTTTTCTTTATCGATTTTCCTACCTTTTAAAAAAATCAAAATAAACAAAATTTCATTTTAATATTAATCTTGATTCGGAAATCTTGAATGCTCTTGTTCTTCTTCCTCCTTCTGCAATATTTTAATCAAATCTATTATTATATTATTGTCATTCAACAATTTCTTGCGTCATCAAATATTAATTTTTGTTTTTCAATTGTCAAAACCAAGAAAGTTGACCTGGTACAATCATTATTTTATTTCTTATTGTTGTCTTTTTCTTCAATCTTGTATAAAACTTGTCATTACTCGACATTAGAAATGGCAATTGGGGCATGTTTTGGCGTGGCTCCTTTCTTTTCTCGCAGGAAGCATAGTACAATATTTGAGGTATTTTTTCTTTTTCTTTCTTTCTTTTCTTCATCCATTTTCTCTTAAAACTTCTTCTTGTCTGGATTTATTCTGATAATGATGAAGAATGTAAATTCTCGTACTTGTACACAAGTATCTAATATCATAAAATCCAAATTTGACATTCTAAATTTTGGTAATATTACCATGCAAAACCTCAAAGGTGGCGGCGATGTTGGACTCCTTTTTTTTCTTTCCTGGAAATCTAAGTACTTAAATCAATTGTATCATATGATCGAACAAATTAAGCAAATAAAACTACGTATAGCCATAAGGTGACATAAAACATGTTTGATTTGAGAACTGAGCTTTATAGCCCCAAATATATAGTAATATCTGATAAATCCTTAAAACACAACGTACTCAAGATGGCTCATCACAACTGAGTCTCTTCTTTTTTCTTTTTCTTTTTTTCGCTGAAGACTTTCGTCTTTTTTCCTTATAATATCTGATGTTCTCCGAACATGTTATAACCATATTGAAAAATAAACATGTTCTGTATTAATTTGTGCATGAAAATCCTATCTCAGAATGCTAAATCCTACATTTTCATGCAAAACCTGAAAGGTGGCCATGTTGAAATTGGAAGACGATTTATGAATTGTGTCATATGAGGAAACAGATTAAGGAGAGAAACCGACAACCATTATATAATTTTTGTTAAAGGAACACGAAAGCCCAAGGATAATGATATCCGAGGAAAACTCGAGAAGACAAGCCACCTAAAAGTTTTTCATCAATGGAAAAGAAAAAAGAAAAATGATCCTTCACCTTGATTTGGACATATTTACCATGTTTATGTCATAGAAGTGAATAATGATATGAGGGCAAAGAAACATGGAAAATTGTATTTTGGATATTAATTAGTATATCATTAACAGTAGCTAACAAACATTTGCAGGAAGAAGACATGAAAGAGACAAAGAAAAGACCTGTTCTTGAAAAAAATAAAACACCTGCTATCGCAATATCAAAAAGTTTTAAATCAAGCAAAGGTTCGACGGTGCGCAATTCATGTAGAGTAGCAGGAAACTTCATAATAATGACTGAGCTTAGGAACAAGATCCTCACCTTGAGAGACTTGCTTGACTTGTCTCCTTGCATTGGCTCTGCATCAGTAAATGAGGTATTCTTCTGTTACTTATCTTCAGAACTCAATCATAATAACATTCTTTGAAAGGTTTCAAACTTATATACACCGATAGAATTATGAACTTTTACATCATCACTATACTTTAACTGGTTATAGCATGTTAATGTGATGATGTAAAATTTTTACATTGTCAGTGTATAGAAGTTAAAACTCTGAAAGAAAAAGAGCAAAGCAGAATTTGGTAACTTCTGTCGTGAATTTTTTTCCGCAGCTGCTGATTTTGACGCTGAAAGATCTGCAACAATTGTATCCTTCAATCAATCCATCTATTTCTTTGTCAAAAATTGATGAAGCATCGATGCATCAGGTTATTATTTACTCAACTGTAATGAGCATTACAAATTCAACGTTTGCTATAGCGCATTCACAGTTCACTGTGCTGACCTAATTCATACATTTCTCAGGCACTGCAATGCTTTTTTGATACTATCATATCAATTGGGGAAATGTGGACAGGCAATGATGAGTGGATGGTAAAATGCAAGGAGGATTCAGTCAGTAAACTAGACAATTTAGAATACTATGGTATGTCATATGTTTATTGCAACACCAAATATCTATTTGGCACTCTTGAAAAAGACCCTAATATTTTCTCTCAATTACAACCAATTCAGGAGTTTTATTGCTCGAAGATATGATTAAGCTAGCGAGTGAAAGGATGTTCGATATGATGGATGAGGATGATGAGGATGACGATGACCAGATAAGAGATGAACGTCCATCATTCAACACATTTGGAAGGGTTCTTTCTGAATCTTACTCGAGCGCCAAATCCTCCCTCTCGAGCACTCCAGTCACCCCAACTTCAGTTCTCCCTGGGTTAATGAGCAATGCTTCAAAGAAGAATACAAAGGCATCATACTCTCCACCTCTTCTTCTGCCACTCAGGGTTCAAGCAATTGGCAAGCTGAATCCTATTGATGTAAAGCGCCTCTCTTTCCACATGTTCCCTCATGTAGCAGCTCAAGATTCAAATTTTGTGGTTCAGCTAACAAGCGCAGAAGCAAAGAAAGATTCTGAAGTGAAAGCCAAAGATGATCGTGAATTTGGGCAAGATAGTGAAATGACAGACATGCCGGATATTCTACTGACTAGTATGGATGATGAATCAGAAAATAAAGGAACATATAAAACTGGTGCTAAAAATACTCCAGTGTCAGGACATGTTACCTTGGATGTGCTTTTACCTCCTTCTTCGCTTCCTGAAACGCGAAGAGAACAAGGAGCAGAGCCACAATCACCGCTCACTTTATCGTTGAAGGTCATAGACTCAGAAAAAACAGCATCTCCTCTGCAGATTTCTTTGCACTCATCAGATGGGGATATATCAAGACCATCATCACCAATGGCCCAGTCACAACCCCCACCATTATCAACGAATCAGCCATCTACTTTTGCACCAGCAGCGCCACAACCACCACCTCCACCTCCACCGCCACCAGTACCCACTTCATCAGGGAATGCAGAAGGGTCACAGCCTGCACCACTGTTAAGACAGCTAAGTGGTGCTCCACTGCCTCCTCCTCCTCCTACCATGACATCAGCTAATGTAGCAATGCCACANTGAAATTGGGAAATGTAGTATCAATTCCACCTCCACCCCCACCTCCCATAGGATCAAAGGTTATAGCACCTCCACCACCCCCACCTCCCATGGGATCAAAGGTCACGGCACCTGCACCCCCACCTCCACCAATGACTTCAAATGGAAGAATGCCAGCACCACCTCCACCCATGCCAATGGGAAAAGGAGCTGCACCTCCACCACCACCAGGGTTTGCAGGTGTCAGGAACCTAGGACCTAGGAAAGCAGCCACTAAATTGAAGAGATCATCCCAAATGGGAAATCTTTATCGGCTTCTCAAGGGTAAAGTTGAAGGATCTAGTTTAGATGGTAAAGCAAAGGGGAGAAAGGGAAAAGTTGGTGGTGCTGCACCCGCCGGAGGCAAACAGGGAATGGCTGATGCATTAGCAGAGATGACAAAGAGGTAATTAATCCCCCAACCGATCATTTTGGTAGAGGTGATACTTTCATAGATGTTAGATTTATGTATAAAAATTATATCATATATGTCTCAGGTCAGCATACCACCAACAAATTGAAGAGGATGTTAGAGTACATGCAAAAACAATCAAGGAGATGAAAACAGCCATTGCCTCTTTCCAAACATCAGATATGTCTGAGCTTATTAAGTTCCACAAAACTGTAGAATCCCACCTAGAGAAACTAACGGATGAATCTCAGGTTTCACATATAACTGTTGTATACATAATTCTCCATGATTCCCGCTTCAGGGTGTTGGCTTAAAGTAATCTTGATACAGGTGCTAGCAAGGTTTGAAGATTTTCCTACCAAGAAGTTGGAAGCATTAAGGATGGCAGCAGCACTTCATACCAAGTTAGATTCAATAGCCAAAACTCTACAGAATTGGCCAATAGTCCCACCTGTTGGTCAACTTCTTGAAAAAGCTGAGAGTTACTTCAACAAGGTAGAAACTAAGTTCGCAGTTGATAACTTGTCGATTTTTATATTTCCATTAGTAGCTCTAACAAATGGTTCTATCATCTAGATCAAAGGAGAAATGGACACACTGGAACGAACAAAAGATGAAGAATCCAAGAAATTTATAAGCCATAAAATCCACTTTGATTTTGGCATCCTTGTGCGTATCAAAGAATTGATGGTGGATGTTTCCTCAAACTGTATGGAACTGACTTTGAAGGTTAGCACAATGTAAAGCATGTAGCAAATGTAGTATAATTCTCATGAAATCACTCACTTTAGTATTTTAGTGAACATCTTTTGAAGTAACACTTAATGTTGAATCAGGAGAGAAGAGAAATAAAGCAAAAGGAAAATGAAGGAGCCGGACCGAAAATTGATGGTCATAAAAAAGGATCAGCTAAACTTCTTTGGAAGGCCTTCCAATTTGCATTCAGAGTCTATACTTTTGCTGGTGGCCAAGATGATCGTGCTGACATGTTGACAAGGGAATTGGCTCAAGAAATCGAGACAGATCCTAATCCAGAGGCATAAAGTATTAGCTCATTTCTTCAAAACAAAAAAAAAACCCAAAAAAAAAAGATCACTATAGGTGAAAATATAAAATGCATTGGTGCTCATATATAGACACTTTTGAGAGGTTTGAGCATTTAGCATAATGAAGCTTTCCCTGGCAGGTGTTTTGTAGATGCTTCTTGATCTGTGACTACATGCATATTCTAGGAGAGAATTGCTAGACATTATATCCTTCTTCGTTTAGAAGACGGAGAGAAGTGAGCTAAAATCTAGCTTTGCTCTACTACCTGCAATACATACAATATCTATTACACCTTTGTGACTGGTTTTGTAGCTTGTACATAACCCCGGATTTTCTTTACTTTCAGAATTAAAAGAGTATACATGTGAATGATTTCCTTGTTTATGCATTTTGTATGTTATTTTGTGTAGTCACACAGTTTGCCTTGTTTTTGCTTTTTGTATGTTTTTTGTACAGCCACACTATTTTCCAGGAGTTTTGTCATTTTGAGTCTTAGTATTTCTTTTCTTTTGGTCAAATAAAGTTAATTAACCACTGTTATCATACCATATAATCTGACTTGATCGCTAGGAAGAATTAGATAATGCATGGTAATAAGAAGCTTGCTTCATACTAACGTGTTTTTCATCTAACACACAATTTTCTGAAACACTGAAACAACGATGAGATCTTAAAATATTGCATTGCTTACTTTTAACATCCATATATACTGATATACATGGCGATATTACAATAAACAGTTGAATTAATTTTTGAAACAATACTATTTTGTAACAGTAGGTGTAGAGTAACTACCCTAAATCCCCCTCGTCCGTATATAGTACATACACAAGCAGATCAGTTGACTATTTTGCTAACATCAAATATATGAGATTAAAATAAGTTAGTATGTATGCTAATTAGAAATCGGAATTCAAGAATAACTACAGGAAAAAAAATCAAATAAGCTCTTTAAAGCAGAAAAACAAACACCTGGTGGGCTTCTTTTTGAAAATCACTCTCTTACGGCCACAATAAAAATAGCAAGGACCTCCTATTTAACCTATACCCATATTTTTAAAATTATTTAATATATAACTTAATTTTGATAACTTCAGACGCCTCTCTTATTCCTCGTGACCTATGCGCTCCTTTCCTCCTCTTCTTTTATGATGTTTTCAAAGAGGTTGTGCTTTTGAGATAAATAGCCCAAAAGATTTTGAGCCGACCGTTTTCGCTTGCATTCTATTTTTGTTGCTTCCATTGCCTAGTGTTTCTAGCCGTGCAAGGGGAGTTATCTAGAAATTCCCTTCAAATTTCCAGGTTATGTTATATATTGCTGGGCAAAAAGTTAAAATCTCAAAATATCATTGATGTGGAAACTTGTACTAAAAATTATCTGAAGTTTTGTACTATCTATCTGAAGTTCAAATATAACAAGCTGATTTTATCCTGAAGTTTGCACTACAAATTGAAGAACTTCATATTAATTTGTCTGAAATTTGCACTAAGAAGTGTAGTTTTCAAGATTATCTTTGTAAGTTAGGCCAAACTTCCGGTGAAAATATTTTGAAGTTTTGTTTTAATAAGGCCACACTCCACGAAAAAAATTCTCAAGTTCAAACTTCAAGCATACACAATTGAATTGAAGTTTGCCCTTGCTATAAACTGAAGTTTGTCTGATTACCTTTGCAAGTCAGGCCAAACTTAAGGCAAAAAAGTTTGAAATTCAAACTTTAGACATACATAATTGAGCTGAAATTTGCCAATGCATTATGAACTGAAGTTTGCGTGATTGCCTTTGCAAGTCAGGCTAAACTTCATGCAAAAATATCTGAAGTTTTGCTTTGATAAGGCTACATTTTAGGCAAAAAATTATGAAGTTCAAACTTGCATAAGTTTTTGCTACTTCAGACATAAATTTTTGCTATTTCATGCATGTATGTCTGAAGTTACCCGAAAAGTGAGTGCGCTTGCAATTTTTTTATGCAAAATAGATATAAGTTAAATGGTGATCCAAAAACTCGGTAGAGATAGAAAATGCCCCACAGCTACCTCCTTATTCCAGTTAACCAACTTTAGTCCATTGGACAAAATATGAAGGCTTAACCCAGCGCGATTCTCAAAGACTCAAGGCCCACGGCCTTCATTGTATTCATTTGTCGAGAGAAGTGCACAAATAGCCGTTTTTAGGATCCTTATTTAAATAATAGTAGTCAAAATTTATAAAGTTTTACAAGTTTAGCAGTCCCGGAATCAACTCTCGACATATGGGTCTAAAGTTGAAATCGTGGATCTGAAGTTTCCAAATTAGACCTCTGGTTCTAAAGTTGGACTCGGTCAAATCCTAACTGCATTCTCACGCATGAAGTCTAAGTGGACGTTTGGACATAAAAATTTAAAATTTTTTAAAAAGGTAAAAAAGAAATTTCAAGCGAAAATAGTATTTGAAAATTAGAGTTATATTTAGACATGAATATAATTTTGGGTTGTTTTTGAATTTTTGTGAGTTATCTGAGTGAAAATTTTGAAAAATTCCAAAATTCATATTCAAGTAAAAATTGAAAATTTTATGGCCAAACACTGATTTAGAACAAAAGTGATTTTTTTTTTGAAAAAAGTAAAAAACTTCTTATGTCCAAACGGGCTCTAAATGAAGTTCAAGTTCAGACTTGAGGCTTGAAGTTAGGTTTAGTAGAGTTGTAACAAATTGGATATTACACCCGAACCAACTGATTATATTAACTCACTAAATAGAATTACAATAACCAAATATCGATAGAATAGTAGAAAACAACACTAAAGAAAATAGAGAGAAGATGAGAAGAGAATTGCAACCTAAAGCTAAGAGAAAGGGGATGAGAGACAGATTCAACAAAGGAGATGAGAAGAACAGACTGAGCCGAGGCTTCAAAATAATTCGGATAATCCTTCTTTCTAACCTCGTAATACTTTTTATCTACTTGCTAACTAGGCCTGAATTCTAAATAATATAATCTCCAACGGTTTACGCGGCCCAATAATCTCAATTGACCTAGTCTCATTTATCTCTTCTAGTCTATAGGCTCTTATGGAGTCAACTTGGTTCACAACAATACTATTACCCTCAAAAAGAACCATGTCCTCAATGTTCAAGCAGTAAAATCTTGTTGGGCAATCTAGAGTATCATAAACACAGGGGTTACGATAGGCAAAAACGTTTAGGAACAATATCATAATTGGGTTGGTAACTTGGAGTTTAGACTTGGGTTCATCTTTATCGCTTAGCTTCATAAGAACAATAAATGTATTCCAGATAAAATGGCAAAGAAGTGTAATAATTTGAGATGTGTCCAAAAGAGCAAAGCACCTAATGGTGTCATCCAATGTAACAACTTGGCCGGTCATTTTGAATATTATAGCCCCCTTTTCCCATTTACTGCTTATTTTGTGTTCGATTATGATTATGTAACTTGTCGGAGAGGTCTTAGAATAAATTGGAACACTTAGTTCCAAGATTTAAAGCTTAATTTGAAATAATTGACCGGATGATGAAATGTATGAAACGACCTCGGAATAAAATTTTGATGGTTCCAATAGCTCCGTATGGTAATTTTGGACTTAGAAGTGTGATCGAAAAATTATTTGGAAGTCCGTAGTTAAATTAGGCTCTAAATGGCAAAAGTAAGAAATGGAAAGCTGGAAGTTTGACCGGGGAGTTGACCTTTTGATATATGGGCCGAAATTCGATGCTGGAAATTTGAATAGGTCCTTTATGTCATTTATGACTTGTGTGAAAAATTTGAGGTTAATCGGACTTGATTTGATAGGTTTCGGCATCGAATGTAGAGGTTGGAATTCGTTAGTTTTCGTTAAGCTTGAATTGGGATATGATTTGTGTTTTTAGCATTGTTTGATATGATTTGAAGTTTCGACTAAGTTCGTATGATATTTTGGGACTCGTTGGTATGTTTAGTTGAGGTCCCAAGGGCCTCGGGTCGATTTCGAGGGTTTCCGGATTTTCCTCATTTTGGACATTTTGAGCTCGAGTTTTGGCGATTCTTGAGAAGTGTTTTGATGATAGGCTATAATAACGTATTTTAGTTTCTTATTACCCTCTAATTTACTGCACTTTAATTGAGTTTGAACTTTAATCGCTAGTGTCTTGCACTAATTGTGTGTTTTATGCCTTGTAGGAGTGATTCCAAGCTATGTAGATGTTATGGAATAAATTCAAGTGATTTAGAGCTTTGAAGTCTGATTAAAAGCTCAAGGAATTAAGCCAGGATCGTGTTCGGGGGTCAATGGATGATAGTTAGAACAATCGAAGAATCGAGTAGGCATATTGCGCACTATCTAGCAAAATACACATAACTTTTTTCTCAGAATTCCATTTAGTCTCCACAATATATGGTTGGAAATATAACTCAAAGGGCTACAACTTTTATGTTTTACATTTTACCAAATTCCAAACAAAACAGGGTGAAAAGTGCACGTCAAGAGTGCAGACGCGCTTGTCATGCAGAATCAAAGTGGATATGCGCGGTCTGAGCGCGGCCGCGCACGTCCTGTCTGGAAAATGTGTCCTTTTTCGCATAAGAAAAGGTGTAATTATTTGGGCCCAATCCTACTTGGTATATATATATGGAAAAACGGTAGTTTGAGCAGGTTGGACAGATTTGAGACACAGATTCGACCTAAGGAGACATACACAATAGGAGCAAGGCGAGGAATTCTTCTACGAGTTTTTCCTTCCTCTTCCTATTTTTCATTGTTGGTTATGACTTTTAGTATTGTAATTTTACATACTATTATGAATAGCTAATTTGTTATCTAGGGTTTTGATGGAACCTTTTGTAGGATAAATTCTTGTTATGTTTTTATATAATTGAGTCGTAGTATTTTCTCTATTTGTTCAACTATATTATTCTTGTGGTTGATTGAAGAGCCCTGAATTAGCTGTGCCTGTTTAGTATGTATTACTCGGGAGAGAGTACATATTTAGGTAGTTGTTGAACGACATCATTTCCGACGTATGTGAGGAATCAATAACCAAGGGTTTAAAGGTGGGATTAGGAATAGCGAAACCTTGGGTGCGATCTAAGTGTGCTGTAATTAAAGCCAGCTAGCGTAACTCGGGAGAGTATGTCTAGTAAATTGTCGTAATTACTCGGGAGAGAATTATAATACGCAGAGCGCTCATGATTGGTAGAGAATACTTAGGCAAAATTATAGAAGACTTAGCGGGAAAGATTCCGACAATTGGGGAAATTATAACTCTAGACCTCCTTAATCTTTTCTCCAACCCGTAGTATCTTTAGTTGTTAATTTACTATTTTAATTTGTTAGTTAATTAGTTAAACACAAGAATCTTAATATCTATAAGTTAGGAATTGTTCAAGCTTGTCTTCTTAGCGATATTGAAC